TAATATTCATGGTATTTAAGTTCCATATATTTATGTCTCTGTTAAATGGAGCAAAATCACATAGTAACCAACCAATAATCAGTTAAAAGTATAAGATATTCCATTGTTATTCATTTTTACTAGTATATGATTGAGGGAAAAGAGTTAAGCTGTACTTTGATTAAATGTACTTTATAGAGAGCTGTGATGATGCACATTATAAATATACAGAAAATTCACTGTTTGGGCAGGTATGAGTTCAGAGATCCAAGTTACCAGTGCTCATGGCATTGTCTTTAATAGCTTTTATCTCATTTTAGGAATTAATTATGGTACTGGAGAACAGGAAAGGAGTGTGGATATCATTCTTCTTTCTATACTCAGAAACATAAGTGACATCCTTTTGCCTAAGATAAACATCTAATAAGCTTGGATTTTAGTTGATACTTCACATGTCATGAACCTGGTAATCAAAGATACTACGAAGTTTTGAAATAATAAAAGGTAAACACTTGCTCATTTATTCATCCATTCTACCAGGAATTGACAGATACTCTTTAAGCAAAGTGGTGACTGTCAGTGCAAAAAACAAACAAACAAACAAACAAACAAACAAACATTTAGGTGCAAAAAAGACAGAAAGATGTTATAGGAGAAATTATAGAAAAAGTTTAGTTGAGTAAGATGCATGTTTAGGGTTAAGCAATGAATTTGGAGAACAAGATCTCAGCTCTTCTTGTCTGTAAATGTCTCAACTTTACATGGTTAAAAGCTGTGATTATTACTTGTTGTGATTTTCATGTTCATTTGTGAAGTGAATATCCCACCTTCATTTTGAGATTGTAGCATCTTTTAAATTTACCAAGAGCTTAGAGATTTAATCTGGCTTCCTGACCAAAAAAAAAAACGAAAGAAAAGGAAACAAAATTTTTCTCTCTTACGCTTCTGGTAAAGAACCAAAAGAACCAATACAAACCTGTCACTGATCCATGGTAGTTAAATTTTAGTGTAATTGTTTCCTTTTATTGATACATGTTAATTTTCAGTGTATTCTGCTAAAAAATCAATCTTATCTGGAGGTAGGAACTGTGCCTTTCTCTTTATTATGTTCAGGGCCTGAAATAAATACCAAATAAAAGCACTGAAGATTACCATAATAAGACCTGGAAAGTTCTTCAAATACTCTAATGAAATGCATTATTGGATTACAAAATAGTTAATTGAAGTCATCATCATTACAATAGTTAATTCCTTTGATGTATTGTCTCCAGGCATGATTAAAGATTTACCAATATTGTTCTTACATACTGAAATGTGAAAAATGCGTAATCATTTGTTCAATAGTGTAAGTATTACTTAGAATCAGAAAGTGGGGAAAATACTGTCTGCATATAAATTAGACTGACAAATGTTTTTCTAATCATAATAGCACTCCTTATTTCCAAAAAGTCCATATATAAAGAAGAGAAAATATAAGCCTGTAAAAAAAAAGCACAATTTCAGAGATGACAGGAACAGAGTAGCATAACAAGTAAAATACAGATGAAAGTATTGGAAGACCTAGATTCCAAACTCAGATCCTGGGTGATTTTCAAAAGGTCAAATTATCCACCTGGATATAAAGCTATCATCTCCTAAATGATGACACCTTAAGGGTTTTTTTTTTTCAATTGTAAACTTCTATATTGTTTAAGTAACACAACACACAAAACTTAGTACCATTCCAATAAAGATCTGAATTAGAATAATATGAAACTATTTATGTCAAGAAATATTATAACATTTTCAGGAAAAATTTTCTTTAATGTTGAAATTCTTAAACATTATTCAGAATTGTAGGAATGTTTTAGACTAAGTTATGGTTTTTACCTAGATGTTCCCTGTGAGACCAAAGCGACTCCATTTTGCCAAAAGTCACTAT